AGCGAGTACGTGCCTAAGGGAGGGTGCTACTTTTGTAAAGGATCGCATCGGGCAAGTGATTGCCCAGTGTTAGGGAAACTTGCAGCAATGATCGAGAACTTTGCTCATGCACATAAGGGTGGCACAGGAGGGACCGCCTGCACTGTGCGCATGCGCTTGGAATCTAAGACGAAAGTAAGGGATTCCAAAGCCTATCTTTGCGCCATGCAAATGGAGCATGGTGGCAGCAAGAAAAGTTGGGGCAGGCATAGTTGAAAAGGATAGCGAGTTACAAAGTGATGGCACTCTATCAAACTTAGACAATGCACTGAGCAGAGGGGTCAAGTTTTGCTAGCAAGGCGGGCTGCCAAATAGGGAGTGAAAGCATGGACCCGATGCTTGAAAAGCTGCTAGACTTGGTTGAGTCATGGGGAGATTCAGGCTAAGAGCAAGGAGAGACATCTGATGGGCGGAGGATCGAGGCCATCATTGCGAGCCGTCCAAAGTACAAAAGGGACAAGAAGAAAGGTGACCAGTACATTGTGACATGTGAAAGCGAACCGCTCCATAGAGCATCATGGCTAATGAACAACGATCGTCGGCGACGCGAAGGCGAGGTGCGCGCATACGTGTCGATGCTTTGCGCCGAGGGCGGTGCAAAATTTGGTGGGGGAGAGTGTTATGGCCTGCCACATCATCATACCACATAGCTGCGGCTTGCATATTTTTGTCATATGGAAAGCTTACATATGAAATAGACTAATACATGTGGGAATGTTCTAGAGAAATATAGAGGTTTCCCTATGAAAACCCTAGAAACCTATGGATTTGCTAGGAAAGTCCTTGAAAGATTCTAGTTATATAGAGAATTCTAGAGAAGGGACTTACTTGTAAATAATAAGGGACTTGTGTAACAATTAATATTTACACATTAGCCCCTACGTGACTAGTATATAAAGGAGGCAATTCATTTGTAAATTCATCAAACAAAACAATCAAATTCTCTATAATACAAAAGCTGCCTTTGGTAATTCTCCTGTGTTCGAACATTTCCTTAGCGATCTTTAGTGTAGTAAGGCTGACTTGGCATAGCAAAAACATGAGCAAGTTGTGCAATATCGTGAGCAAGTTATCAAGTGACACACGTACGTGTACTTAGTCAAAGACTAAGGACGTGACAATATCCTGAAATTGTTTAGGCTGTTTGGAACTAGAATGCATTCAATACCACTTTCTTTCTATCAAAGATAATTTCATATACAATGCTTCCGATGTGGTTCATTAAAATATTTGGTGCGTAGGACTTATTTAAAAAATGATGCATTTCTTTTTCCAGCATTATAAGTTATTTATTCATTAAGTATTTATTTATCTCACCGTCATTATTTGAGAAATGCATTATGAGCTCTCCTTTTCGAGCATTATGAGTTATTTATTCATAAATTATTTGTCCATTCTCGCAAAATTCAATAGAAACCCCATTAATCAGCTACTTCAACTAATTTTTTTTATCAACTTCTACTTTAGCTAATCTTTTTTCAAAATCTCACTCAACTTAATTTAAACTAGAGAAAAAACAAGAGTCAGGGTCGTTTTATGCTAAATGGACCAGCTGACCAACACATAGTAGGGATAGAGTATATTCGTGTTTCCACAATAAGTAAGATCACATGCATATTCACATTTACTATATATTTGAGTACGCTTATAAGTTGGTGACCAGCGTATAAGTATTTTTTATTTATCTACACGTGTGATAAACTATAAAAAGTACTTATCAATCAAAATAGGGATCAAAAGTCATAAGTTAATTATCCTAATTTATAGCTTTTCAACTCATGAGCACATTGATTAGACCAAATATTTTACTCTACTATGTATATTCGTAATTCCGGAGCACTCTTCCTAACAGCTTGTTTGTTTGGATGGTTGTTATCTATTGTATTATATTATTATTTTAAATAAAATATTTGTGTTGATTGTTATTTAAATTTTATTGTATCATATTGTTAAATTTACCGTTACGTAATGATGAAAAATGCCACATAATGTAATGATGGATTTAGTGTGGTGGCGTTGTTACCTTGGTTTTTTCTCTCATCCTGCCCTTCCTTGTTATTAATTAATCATATATTCTATTTTTTATATAATATTTCAACCTCATATCCTATTTTTTCTTAGTAATATTACAAGTCAATTATTCATATTGTTGGCGCGTGATATCATAAAACAAGAAGTCGAAAAATCGAAATCTCAATGAGTAATACGTATATGTCTGTATGAGTAGTCTGATGGTATTAAAAATTTGGTTAATACGTGTATGACAGTATGAGTAGTCTTGAAGACTCTTCAATTCAAAAATACCATTTTGGGTATTGATGGTATTAAAAATATGGTATTGATTTGAAACTATTTGGTATTGATTGAATGATTGTTCAAAAAAATTCTATTTGGTTTAGCCAATAAGCCGCCCGATAATTGTTAATCTGAAACCAATCCGCTCGTTGTCTTATTGGATGGCTAGAAGATTACTACATTTATAATCTGATAACCGTTAAGTCGAACCGTTAGCGTAATTATCCGTCTGATCCCCGTGATAACCACCCCTGCCTCTAATTATAACTTCCTCTGCCTCTCATTTTGGTCTTTCGTCCTTCTCTATGTAATGATATTTTTATATGTTTTTGTAAATAAAGTGCTTCATTGTTACCAAATATCATATTTATTATCAATTTCAATACTATTATTCAAATACTTAATTATATAACTACTTTCAGTATAAAAAATGGAGTATATCTTAGCACTTTCAGCATATAAAACTGATTTTTAACCCTCGATATCTACTGTAATTACTTTCAATAAGCTACAATAAATGGACTCCTAAATCCATCGGTCTTAACTTAAATTCTCTACATGCCTACACATTGGGATAAAACAGGACAAATTACGTGTCTGGCCGGTCGGCCAAAAATAATTATATCTGTAAACCAATATACAAAAAATATATACTGATTATGTATAAAATATATATATTTCATATATATTATTTTTTATAGCGGCTATACCATATAGTTTTCCCGATAAGAAAGAGATTTTTATCTTCCTATACTACATATCTTTATTACCCTCCCAAATCAAGTTTTAACTTAATTACATGTGGGCATATATAATTTACCAATTATATACATATTAGTATTAATGAGTATCCCTTTATATTAGGAATTGAGTATGGAATCAGTTATTTTCCGTCCCTGTTCTCTCTCTCTCTCTCTCTCTCTCTCTCTCTCTCTCTCTCTCCGTCTCTCTTTCTCTATCTTCGTCTCTCTCTTTCTCTCCTCCTCTATTCTTTCTCCAATTTTTCTTCCTTCATTTTTCTATGCTTTTTATCCACTCTTTTTTTTCAGGGAATTCATCAATGAATTTCAATTGTTTTAATATAAAGTTTTAACTTAGCAATTTTCTTCAATGTTGCACAATTGGTGTTCGAATTGAAATTATCAATCAATAAATTTTGAAGGTTCCTGACTCTCCACCATTGACAACAATTAAAAAGTTTCGAAACTTTGAATTCGAATTTGGGTTTTTAAAAACTATTATGTGTGAGGATTGGGTGTTGTTGCAAATAATTAGGAATATTCTTTGGAGCTTATATCTCAAATTTGAGGGTGTTTGGTGAAGATTAGACTTGATTTTGGCTGAATTTCAGATTAAAACTTGAAGAAGAAGAAGAAGAAGAAGAAGAAGAAGAAGAAGAAGAAGACGAAGAAGAAGAAGAAGAAGAAGAACACATGACATACAATAGTTACGAAATTATATTAAAGTTGTATGCAAATTATATTTAAATTTTATTCTGTTGTAGTTATATATTTTTTTATTTGAACGTTGTATGAAAGTTGAAAACTAATTGTATAAAGTGTGAATCGTTGTATGAAATTTATATTTAAGTTATCAATACTATCTTTTTACATAAAGTTGTTGATATGTCTCAAAATTGTATTAAGAGAGGAAGTTTTGATTTAAATTTGTACGAAATTTGTTTTTAAATTGTTGCACCATATATTGTTCGAGATGCCGAATTTGAACCAAAGTTTTTTATTATTTGATGGTTGTCGATGATGGAAAATAAAATGGGGATCTTTACATAAATAGCCGGTCATATTTATTATTTACTTTTTCTAGCTGTATACATAGATTATACATTGATTGTATATAATTATACACAAATAATATATAAATTATGCATATATTATACCTTCACTAGCTATTTTTAGTTTAAATGATTAGGTGAGCGACTATTTGGGTTAATTCTTCAATAAAATACCCTCAAATTTTATTGATCGATAAATAACTCGAACAATAATAGTGCAACAGGAAAGAAAATATCTTTCTATAGTCATGCCTAGCTATGCAAAGAACTGAACAGAATAGAACAGTTGGAGTCCAAACTATTTTGGGCTTAGAAGAGTTATATACACAAGGACAAGGTCTTTATATTTTAATTCGAGGACCTTCATATGTTTTCCCCTAAAATCAAGAACTGCTCATTTCGTTTCCAAGCCATGAATATATTGTGCGGTTGTGCCATCTTCCATCGGCTCCATATCTATAATTTCATTCACAAATTTTATTGAGAGAGAGAGACGGTGAGAGAGAGTGATGAAGAAAGAAGGGAAAATTGATGAGAGTCGGCGATGAATAGGGAAAGAGGAGAGGAGAGAAAAAAGAAAAAAAAATGTAACTAAATCTTCTAATTTAAGACGCTAATAATGAATTATATATAATTTGTAAGTAATTTTTATTTAGGGCGGGTAATATACAAAATTAGAATAATTTTGGTAAATACGTTTCAAATATTGTACATGAATGAAAAAATTGCAATAAAATATGAGTTGATTCTATCAAAGCCCATTTCAGTTCAGTCATACTATTAATGGGCTAACATATTGTTGGGCTAATAGGCCCGTCAGATTCTATCAACCAATATCAACCGTAGGATCTAGGGCTGTCCGAGTTACATACACTACATATATTTTCCTTTCGTTTAGCCCTTCTGCTTCACCCCCCAAAACAAAGAAAGAAGCTACAGAGAGAATAGCAAAGCCGCCGTGAAAAATGGTCCAACGACTAACTTACCGTAAACGGCACAGCTATGCCACCAAATCTAACCAACATAGGGTTGTCAAAACCCCAGGTACGTACCCTTTGTTATACTCTTTTGTTCTTTTTTATTGCATTTCTTGTTTGATGAAAATATGTGAGTTTTTTTTTGGATACTGAATGTGTTGGAAAATGATGTTAAATAGGTGGAAAGCTGATTTATCAGAGTACTAAGAAGAGGGCTAGTGGACCTAAGTGCCCTGTTACTGGAAAAAGAATTCAAGGGGTATGTTTTTTTTTTTTGCTCTTAATTTTGTGTTGACTATGTTTTTAATGAATGTCATTGCTAGATTCTGATTAGTTTTATATAAGTACTGATTTTTCTGTTAATATGTTTGTTTCCCGTGATAACTGTGAGATTTATAGTAAACCCATAACTTGACTTGCCTTAAAAGGCGAAACCAAATTATTTAATATTTGGATAAAATGGACCTGAATATAGTGGATTCATTTCGCTTGATTTTTATTTAGGATTGAAGTGTAGTTGATCGATTGATTCATCAGTGTGGTAGTTGGTTTTTTATTTACTAGAGAAACAAATTAAAGTCTCCGGATTTCACAATTTCTAGAATGTATGGAAGTATCAATACCTGATCACTTTGATGGGGAGTTGGGGATAAGTATTGGTCATTGTGTGATAGTACGGATATGCCGATGATTTACACGAGGATAAGCTTACATGTTTCAAATATCAAAGCAAAGGAAAAAAATTGCATGTCTAATTTTCAGTAAGAAGTCCAATGTTAGTTGATCGGGGGAGAGGTTGAAACATCGGAAGTGTGTAGCATGTTTTGCATTCGTATATTGTCGAACAATTGAATCATTTTTAATTTTACATGGTTTTAATACGAGATTGTGGTTTCCGTCTTGTGTGTATTACCTAAATTATTTCCTTTTATGTGACAGTCTTGGGTTTTCCAAAATAATATGTAATTTGCTGTAAGGTTATCTTTAGGACTCTTGAGATTATTTTTCCAAAGAAATATCTAGCTAAGTTGGAAAAGGTTCACTAGAATAGTTTGGTCAACCAATGCTGTTCAAGTACAAGGAAAAACTGAAGCTTATTTTAGATTTCACATTATTATATCATGTTGCCTCGACTGTATTTTCAATTGAGGCTCCCACCTTTTCAATTGAGTGTCTGGGGGCTAATTTGAAACCATTATTACAATTTTGAGTGTATAATATAATGCTGCTTGGGACTGCAAGTCACTATTCATTTTTTTGGTATACTTGTTATTTGAGGGGTTGGTAGTGATAATATTGTCCCTTTTCGTCTTCTTGAGCCGAGGGTCTATCGGAAACCGCCTCTCAACTCCCTTGGAGTAGGGGTAACGTCTGTGTACACATTACCCTCCCCAGACCCCACTTGTGTGATTTCACTGGGCTGTTGTTGTTATTTGAGGGGTAATGTTCTGAAGAACAGAGCTTTGTGATATGACTATGTTCTAAAACATGAGATATTGTGTAGCAAATAGGTATTGTACCATCTTCCCTTTAATATATAGTGCCTAAATATATCACGAGTAGATTTTCAAGTCACTACAACATTTCTAATATTGTGAGGACAATTACTTTGTCATCTATAAAACCCACGTGCGCTCTGGTAGCTGATAGCGATTTATATTTAAGACATGAATGCAGATGCCGTGTCTTCTTTGCTTATGCAGTTGTTTCAGGTGTCATCATTTAGATGACTTGAAACTGTTCCTTTTGCAGATTCCTCACTTGAGGCCTACTGAATACAAGAGGTCAAGATTGTCCAGAAACAGGAGGACTGTGAACCGTGCTTATGGTGGCGTGTTGTCAGGCAGTGCCGTACGTGAAAGGTATATTTTCGATGCACTAGAGAGTATTCTCAAACAATAGTGTTCTTCAAACTCACTAGATGTTGTCTTGTACAGGATCATAAGAGCCTTTTTGGTGGAAGAACAAAAGATTGTGAAGAAGGTTTTGAAGATCCAGAAAGCCAAGGAAAAGCTAGCTGCTAAGAGCTAAGCTTTTTATGCTTGGCGAAGTCACTAGAGGAATTTTCTGATACTTGCAGGCTACCAGGAATCGTGAAAATGTATTTTGAATTTTGGGCTTAAGATTTGTATGTTGCTGGTTTTTGTTAAAATGCTATATTTAATGTTTTTCTAAAGTTTGTCGAAATATCTGTTCTGCTAGGTCTCTACTTCTGCCTTACTCTGGGTATTTGAACTTCCTATGGATATTTGATGGTATTTCAAATCAGTATTAGTTCCAGTTTTGCATCTCAATCGGCATACAGCTTTGCTGGTTAATTGAGTTTTTGGTTTTGTTGCTCCAATTGCTATAAATGAATGTTCGGTCACTATCAGCAGATCATCCTTTTGTTTCAAAGTCTGCTGTCATTCTGGTTTGTTTTATGTAATTCTTTGTAATGTGATTTAAATTGCTGCTATATAATGCTCTGCTTATCTATTACCATTTCTGATAGGCTTGCTCTTTTTGGTCGGTTGAAGATTTATTTACATGTTCAAAACTGCATACCCTATGTCACCGCGCTACTAAAGCATTTTAATCTGTGTCATAGTTATTTTTGGATCTACGTGACTGGCTTTTTGTTGGGAAACACTGATCTCCAGTCAAAGCTGATAAGAATATACACCTGGTGCCAGAAGAGAGAATGTTTCTATGCTGTGAATCTTGTTACAATTTTTTTTTCATCCATACTATTACAGAACCCTATACACTTCATTCTATGCCATTACTGCTTACACTCTGTTTGGATTGCTTTTTTCTTATTTGTACTTTAACTTTTTTGTGGATGCAAATATTTGGGTAGATTGTATTGTTTGTTATTGTGATAGTATTTTTTTGTATTGTGTCGTACCAAAAACTGATATATTTACTAAAATACGCTCAATTGTTGTAAATATAAGATTTATGAGTTTATCAATGATCTCATAAGAATAATTTAAGACAATTTTCTCCCTATTTTATCATCAATTGTGCCTTCTAAATATATTCAAAACCAAAAGAATCATTGGCAAGAAAGTGGCCAGAAGTACCTGTTTTATTCAAGGAGGATGCGAGCAGTAGGAATTGTAATAATCACACCATGTCAAAATCATGAGTCTTTTCATTTGTTATGCAAGAATGAAGTTGACAAATGATTATATATACAATAAATTTTAAGTAACAATTAAAATAAACAGTGCATTTAAATCAACAATACAATGAGTGACAATGATCTTGCTTATAGCACATACCCTTTTAGTTTATCAAATTATACTTTAAAAGTACCAGGGCAAAGAAACAAAATAAAAGTCTCAAGGAACTGTAAATCATCTAACAAAATCAAGCATCTTGGTTTAAGTTAAACTTGTTCCTTATAATAGCAACAAGATCATGGTGTTGTGGAAGATACTGCTTCATTATAGGTAAGTTTTTCAGAGCAGTAACAAGTGCAAAAAGGCAAGGATATTTATCCAGGTTAAGATCTTCTCCTCCTCCAATAGCTTCATTAAAGGCTTCAGCATTACAAGCACTTGAACCTATTACTATATCAAGAATCCCTGGATTCTCACCATTCAGAAATGGTGATCTTTTTGGAAAGTCCCTTTCAGTTCCCTCTTCAAGCACCTTTACCACCTCCTTTGATTCTTCTATTGCCTTGTCTTTTTCACTCCCTTTTGACATTAGAACAGCTTTTGAGCTTGGTCCAATCTATATTGCAAATATAGGGAAAAGGTTAAGACTATCATAAATTTAGTTTAGGTGCACACTCGATATACGTAAGGAACATATATATAAAAGTGTGTGTGGTGTGACGGAAGTCATTTTCACGGAAAATGTTATACTTTATCTCGTGTTTGGTTAGCGAGTAAAAATAGTTTCCAAAAAAATATATATATATATATATATATGGAAGATCAATAACAATATTAGCAAAATATGAGAGTGTTTTGATGATTTTTTTTGGGGGGTATTTAAGATTAATAAGGCTAAGAAATGATAGTGTAGTGCTTGAAGACTAACAGTTGGTAAGTTGGAGAAAATAATACTCCAATAAAGTTAAAAGTCAAGACACTTGCTTGGAAAAAGACTTCCGTCTATAGGTGAGGAAAGATTCCCTTTTTGATAGAAAATGTTTGTTTGTAAAAAATATTTTCTGATAACCAGCAACAATAACAACAATAAACCCAGTATAATTTTACAAGTGAGATCTGGAAAGCGTAATGTATAAGTAGTCTTACCCCTTACCTTGAGAATTTTTTCCTGATAACCAAACACCATAAAATGGCTTCCTCAAAATATTTTCCTAGGAAATAACTTTCTTCATATCAAACACATCCGTAATTTAGTAGGTATTTTACCTTTTGATCATAATAATTTATCCAGAAGCGAACTTTGGCTCTCTCATAAGGCTCCTCTGGCCACAACTTGGTCAAATTTTTCCAGCAATCTTCGATGTATTCAAGTATGACAATTGATTCAACAATAGGTTTCCCTTTATGGACAAGAACAGGCACTTTCTTATGTATTGGATTGTAGTTGAGGAGTTCTTGACTCTTATTTGTTAGATCTTGCTCTGTGTACTCATATTGGATGCCTTTGATTTCAAGGGCAAGTCTAACTCTGTTACAGTAGGAGCTGAACCAGGAGCCTAGTAAAACAACTTCAGTTTCTTTCTCCATAACCTTTAATTTGGAAGTGTTTTTTTGATTTTTTTCTATGGTATGATATGAGGAGTTATGTTCATGTTTAAATAGAGTTTTTCATATGATATTAGGTGAATTAAGATAATACTAAAGTTAGAAGGATGGAGTTCAAACTTTTGATCATAAAGTATTGAATTTGCTTTAGAATTATTGGAAACCTTAATATTAAACAAACATAAATGTCATGTGACTTTGTCAAAGTAAGGCTGCTTGCAAAAATCGTGTTAGATTTATATACTGCAAGTTATACTTTTGCAGGTTAAATTGATAAAATAATTCTTTGGCAAACAGCCTTCAATGTATGTATACCTACTTGGGTCTAGGAGGTGTTCCAATCGAACCGGAAAACCGTCTAAATTGAAAAATCAAATCAAATCGATTAAAAAACCCGACTAGGTTTGCTTTGACTTGATTTGTTATTGAGTAAAAAAAATCCGAACCAAACCGATATATAAATATTTAATTTATATATATATATATTTAAGACTTTATATTGAATTTTCTTTAAAAAATGTAAAAATATTTGAGATCCTATCATGTGTTAACCTTGAAAGCGTACATTAACGAAAAATTATTGTTAGACGACTAAAAAAATAACTATCATGTGTTACTAAAAAATTCTCTCATTAGAATATTTTAATAGATTATATGTTTGTCAATTTTTTAAATATTTCCTAAACATATATTCAATTATCAAAACTATATCTATAACTTTAACAAAGTAAGATTGGAATAAAATTCATGTAACAAAAAAATCCGAAAACCCAAAAAACCCGACAAAACCGAACCAACCCGGTCCATGTAGACCTCTACTTGGCCCCATTTTGAAAGTGTCATTCTATTAAAACTTGCTGTATTCACCAAACAAATAATACATGATATTTGTTGGTATTGACTGTGCACAGTTTTTGTTTTTTGAATAACTAAATAAAAGTTATTTATACTGTCGATATATAAGCTAATCTATTATATTTTGCATCTAAATTAAGACTTTCCTAAGCGGATAAAAAATTAGATGCAGGTTCAATTATTTGGACTCCTCCTTTGTTCAGAAAGAAATAGGATACCATAAGGGGTGCTCTTTAACTTTTGGCTTTTGGGACAAGTCACCCGACCAATTGACAAACCTTCAAGGTCAAAATTGAAAAATTTGCCCATAGGTTAAAACTTATTAAACTAGAAGTTACTCCCATTGGTCAGATGACTTTCCCTAAAGGTCAAAAGTTCAAGATCAACTCCTTCCAGGGTCATTTGTATCATTGACCTTTTCCCGAATTGAACTACATTCGAATGATTGACAGGAATGACCTTTGAAGGGAATGGTCTTTAAATATTATCCCCGTTTTGAATGTATTTAGAAAATATCCTTCGAACACATACACATTATTGCTTGTTAAGGATTTCTATACCGAATTGGTTAATTTTATGCTACATTTATTCTATCTTTATAGTCAATTGTTCGCAAACTCTATTATATTGATATGCTTTTGTGATATCTGTATTCAATGTATTTGTTAATATTCACAAACCCTACCCTTTTAGCACGATTTTGTGCTTGTTCAATCATTCATCAAACTCTAACAGATTGTTATGACTTTGTGTTATTTGCAATCAGCCTATATGTTTAATTGTTTATTAAAGTTCTCTTGGTTGGTATAATTTTTTTGTATTGCTCAACAAAGTATTTTTCGAATTTGCGATTTTAATGCAATCAAAGTACGCCAAATCTTCTCTAAATGATCTCAAATGTGAAACAAAGCATTTAAATACCAACACAAAACACCAAATAAAGAAGACCCATTGCCTCTTTTTCAACACTTTCTAAGGACCAACAATGGAGTTTTGACATATTTAAAAGTAAATCATTAAATAAGTATTTGAACTAAAAATTTAAGCACAAATTATCAACATCCAGTTGATTTTAACAGTAATCAATCATTAACTTCCAATTTCTACCTCCAAACAAGAATTTTGAGCTTTTAATATTGAAGAACTATGGTATTCTTGGTGAAGAAGAAGCCTATTTTTACAATAAAGTAACGAAAATAATATTTAAAGACCAATCTCTTAGGGCAAACAATTACAAAAATATGATACTTTTTTTGGGGTGGTCTTTATCTTTTGACCTCCGCTTGCCCCATGAATAAAACTTTAAGGTCAAAAGTCAAAAGTGGTATCCATGAGGCAAACACAGGATAATACTCGTTAAACTTGAAGTTCTACCTATGAGGCAAACGGAAGCAAAAATTCAAATCCAACCACTTAGAGGGCTATTTGTGTACTTCACCCCGATAACCGGTACAATTTCCTGACTACCTTCGGTCTAACATTATCTTTGATGGCTTGGGTCTCAATGGAGACGTACTAATATCACGACCCAAAATCCAACTAGTCGTGATGATACCTAACCCAACCCACTAGGTAAGACAATTAAGAACTATCGAATTTTAATGAAATTAAATAAGACAACTAAGTAAAACAAAATATCTAAATCCTATACATTTCTCGAGGTCTGGTAGTACAAATCATGAGTTTCTAAGAATAGAATTTACAAAGCTGAAAGAAAATAAATA